AGCAACCAAGCAAGCAACCAAGCAAGCAACCAAGCAAGCAACCAAGCAAGCAACCAAGCAAGTAACCAAGCAAGCAAGCAAGCAAGCAAGCAATCAAGCAAGCAACCAAGCAAGCAACCAAGCAAGCAAGCAAGCAAGCAAGCAATCAAGCAACCAACCAACCAAGCAACCAACCAACCAACCAACCAACCATGTATTCCATATATGAGCAAAACTGTGATGTCATCTCATGAAGAAAGTCCCAATGCTACACTGGTTTGAACACTGAAATGCCCTGCAATTTTCTAGCTTTTCCTGGACTCAGTTTTCTCTTCTTTGCTGATTCATTGTTGTTTATGTGCATAGTAAAAAGAAGGCATCAGTCCCTCTCAGAAACACCAATGCACTGAACCATGTCTTCCCCAGATGACTTCACAGCAACAGCGCCCCCTGTTGCCTGGGAAAGCATTGATACTTTTGTTTAAAAAAGTGCACTTTTCAACGCATTTACACATGGGAATGTAAATGAGTGTTCATACATTGAAGAAGAATACACAGTTGAAGAAAAAAATTGTGTGTAAGAAAAAATTCATTGCAGCTACACTTTGACTGCATGAAAGCAAAGCATACCTGCTAAACATTCCAAATTTGGTGGAATTGTGACAAAAATATGAGCTCCATTAAGACTTACGAATTCATCGCCCTACACTGCTAATTTCTGCAAAATCATTTACTCTGATGATTAAATACAGTGATTTTATTATAAACCAGAAGTGTGTGGTGAGCCGATTATTTCTCCGTCTTTTTGTTGCGCATAATTTACTCGGGCCGTGCGTCATGCACGTACAGTATAAGCGCCAACTGTTGAACCGATGCCATCTTAATGACATCATCAATGCCCAGGCCTAGGACTTAACACACTCAAAATGACGGTCACCAGCATTCTAGTTTGACCGAGGATCCAAAGATTCACCAAGTGCTTCCACGTTTTGTGGGTGCCCTGAAGTAACCGCTCCTTTAAAAAAAAACAGTTACCAATGTTTCACGGCACAAGCGATCCGAAGATACATGTACATGAAGTGCTAGTGCAAGTGTGCATGTGCGCAGCTTCGCATCAACGCGATCAAGGTCCCGACAGTGTGCTGAGAAAGAAGTAAACAAAATGCCACAAAAACAGCGCGTACTGCAGAAATTCCGGGCTGAATACTCAAACAAGTACCCACTGATTGTTTCTTCAAAAGTCGGAGAACACTACACGCTTGTACATTTTGTCAAGGAGACTTCAATGTGTCCTACAGAGGACTTCATGATGTGAAGAAACAGGTGGAATTTAAAAAGCACGAAACCCATAGCAATGCAGTCCAGTCCGGTGAAAAGCTGACTAAATTTTGTACTAGTATCATTAGCATTTACTAGGTACATGTATTCTTGGGAATGTATTGCAGACGGCACCCTTCAGAATGTCATTTAGAGGGACATGCACACACGTCTGTCATGTACATGTACCTGCCTCTAATTTGACACCAGGTCAGGTGCACTTATCAGTGTTGTATAGGGCGACACGGTGCACATTTATTGCAAATACTTCTGATGTAACACATGATTTTGCTCCATTACTATTTTTTATTCCACAAAGTTGGCAGGTATGACAAAGGGAAGTTGTCCTCTACAGTTCGGTAATGTGACCACAGATGATCGTGTAGTCACGACCTCGGTTAGACTAGTCTACTGGACTGTTATGGTGAGCCTGCAGGCGTCTTTGCGACATTTCAAGGGGAAACAGAAGCTAAGACCTGCCTGTAAATCCAGGGGCCAACGCCACAGCACAGAACTGTGCCAAGCCCAGGAAGGACTTGACTGGTAAATCCGGGTTACCAGCCAAGATGTCCTAAGATGCGCACAGCGAGAGACAAGTCCCCTGCTTTTTTGGGGGGGGAGGGAGGGAGCAATATTTTCCGCTTGACAGGTCCATGAAATGGGGTCAAGTTCTGTTGCAGCAAATGTGTGTCAACTGCATCTGATATACCTGTGTATGGTTTGAAGTAAGTCTCAATGTATCGCTGGTGGTTGCCGTAGATGGTCCGAGCTATACCTGGCCAGGGCCGTCTGACACACAGGGCACCAGATACACTATTCCCAGTCATCTCTACTGTCTGAAGACATCACAAACAAAGTACTGATAATATCTGACCCCAATGTTCTAAGTACATTACAAAGCACAGTTAGTCAGTTTTCCTTTTTTCTTTAATAAATTTTTAATCAGTAAGACAAACTGTCACTGTTTTTCATGAAGAGACAAAAGTCTAACCACAGATAGAAAACTAGCTTTCGAGAAAATCGCATTTGAAGTTGGTCTCTTTTTAAATGGCTTCTTTCTCCAGTACATAGCTGTTTTTTGACTTAACTACTTCCTGAAAGAAGGGATCTTAAATGACACAAAACTACAAAACAACATTCGTGGAAATCAATTAAATTTGTTTATTTTGTAAACAAACACCTTTGTCGGTTTGTGATAATGCTAAAATTTGTGTGACTTTTGTCTCTTCATGAAAACGGCACGCGCAGTACACAAGTGCATGCCAGGTGCAAAATAGTTAGATTTTTATACATTTCTGGAATCAACTTTGTCTCTTTGTGAAAGTGGTAAAACAAGGTTTGCCCGTGGTTTTGCCCTTTCTTGCTAACCTATGGAAGACAACTTTTGTCTCTGTGAAAACAGAAAATGCAGTTTAAGTGAACTTTGCCCCATGGCGACCATCATGATTTGGCTGGTTTCAGTAGATCTGATAAAAAAAAACGACTACACCAGGTTGTGGGTATTACATAGCCTGGTTTATTTTGAAAAAAAAAAGAAATTTGAAAAAAATCATGCTTCTGTGCCACTTTGTCTTTTTTCCAAAAACAGTGACGATATATGAAAAATTACAAACAAAACAAACAAAAGGACCACTGTTTTGTTACATTTGTGGCCTAACATCCTACAGTTTTCTCCTGCAGTAGTTCTTAAAATCATCATAGTTCCAAAACATCTTCAGCCATCCACACCAGTGTTTAGAGCTGATATCATGAGGTAGTGTGGATACTTACATGATCCTGGTGATGAGACACATGTATGTGATGGAGATGAAGGGTAGTTCCAGGCCCATCCAAGCAATGCACGAAAATGAATGAAGTAATGGAAATGCAATCATGTATAACAGATGTAATGGAAACGTGATCGTGTCGAGTACATGTACATGTGCAAGGGGGACCCCGCAAGCACCAAAGATCTCTAAGACAGGTTCGGTGTGTTGGATGTGAGGTGGATACTGTTGTGCCAATGTTCAGTTATGGGGCAATTTTGGGGGGACATTTGGCAACATGCTACGGCAATTAACGAGGAAGGGTTACCCCCCTTAGTACACAGCCATCTTGTGTCTGATGAATCTGTCGATCTACCCCCCTTCCCCGGACGAGAACAAGTTCCATTCTTTTCTTCCCAGAGACTCCATTTCTACTACCATCTCCTATCAAGAACAGAGAGAACAGTGGGTGTATTTGAGCAGTTCACCCAGACAGACTGCGGCAAAGGGACAGAGGTTGGCCACTACAAGTGTGTGTGGGGGAAGTGCTAATTAAACGCTTCAGAGGTCATTCATTCATTCAGTGAGATTGACTTTTCTTTGCTATGTCACATCCACAGTATTTGGTTGACTCATTATGGCCGGCCATCAATACAAAACTGGCAGAACAATTCCCGAAGTGTAAAAAAGGAAGCTGTTTGAACTCCAAATAATAAACATGAGTTTTTAATGAGATTTGCTCACTTTTTAACACTACTGAGGTAAATGTGCATTTCCAGATGAAAACTATTACCCACCAAGGGCAAACTTCATGCGAACTTCAGAGGCTGACCATAACACGAGGGTCCGTGTTTGTAAACAAAGCAAAAGGTCTTTCCCACTTGGCTAGGTCTTTGCTTTAGGCTAGAATATGCGTGTGAGCAATGTACACACAAGTCTATAACTGACTATACTCCAGGAACCAGGCTTCCAGTGGCTGACCTGTGTAGGCCTAGAGTACGCCAGCTCACAGCTAACTTGTGTCGACCTAGGTGAGCTACTCCAACACAACCTTTAATAAACTAAGTTAATAATGAATGATGAGCAAGGATTAGAATTTAAGATGCCTGTTATGTTCAACCATATTAAAACCCAATACTCATTCCCAGGGGGACGGGAATGGTGTCCTTTCTGCTATAAATTAGATTAAATTTTCCGGGGGGGGGGGTTATCCTAGTTTTTCTGAAATGCTACATGAATGGGACGATGTTTGTGGTCCAAGAGGCAGAAACACTCTCATATTATTTTGTGTTTGATTGCAAGCACACGGCAAAACATTAATCAGAGTGTCCATTCCTTTAATGTGCCGTGAGTGTACCACATGCATCATGGGGCGTTGGGGTCATTTTTGAGGGGAACAACCATGGATGGCAAACGGGATAAGAAGATGGGAATTTCTTACTGTGTCGCTCATGAGAACAGGCTCAATACCAAGGAATGGCGTCATTGGACCGTGGTGGATCTCAGCCCCAGGGCTGGATGGGCGGGGAGTGATCATAATGCCTCCAGTCTCTGTGGGCAGATACAAATATAGCCATTGTGGTCATCGGCAGGTGCAAATTCCAGAGAGTTCCCTATACTTAAGATATTGCCAACTTTCAGCCTGAGTTCCCTATGCTCTGGACACAACACCTAGTCAATCCTAAGTACATGTACATCACATGGCTGGTCTCAAGTACTGATGTACATGTAACAAGGGGAGAACTATGATGAAGGAACCGTTTTTCATGGCTTTTATTACGTCTTTGGCTTATGTGTCTGTTCAGTTTAAGAGGCTGAGTGAATCTTCTTTAAAACATGTGTGCCCTTCAAATCGAAGAAGTGACCTTGCACTCCATCAGCCTAGTTCCTGACTAGCTGAATACATTTCTTCCAGCAAAATCTGTCCTCAAAGCACAATGCATCCCAGGAAAATCCCACTGTGGAATCTTCTCGCTATGCCCCTTCACTTCAGTCATTTGAGAGTCTGATCATCAAAATCACCCTGGACAGCCTAACACCAAGGGGTTCACTTTCAAGTTCAGCTTGCCCCTGTACCCATGCCAGCGTCAACTGCACGAGACAGCCACATCAGGTGTCTGCGCCGAAGTCAACAGGTGCAGAGCTTAGACTTCGACTGCCACTTTCTTTCAGAACTGGGACCTGACTCTCTCTCAATCAAACTAATAACCTATTCTCAAATACCTCTACCTTCAATAACTGAGTAAACAATACGATTCTTGCAAGTTAAATTTGAATAAAATCTTGTACACTGAGTTATCTGATTGAACATAAACATAACAATTTGAATTCCTGTTTTCAAGGATGGATTTGCGCCAGGGAGATGTTAATTAATTTGGATTTTTGTGCCCTGCCTGATGTGTATTATAACACTGTAAACGCAGTGTTTGCCCCCGAAGGCTTGTGAAAAAAAAAACCACAAGCGTACTCGGGTGGGACTCGAACCCACAACTTCCTACACTGAGTATACAGTGTTATACAACGCGTCAGGCAGGGCAAAAAAATCCAAAATTAATTAACATCTCCTTGGCGCAAATCCATCCTTGAAATCAGTTGTTCGCTGTACCCGCTGCTACATCTGACTCAAACCAGCCAGCTGACACCCACATGCTCGGTGGTTGAGTGGTTAAGATGTCTGAAATAGTAAGCAGGGGGTTGTGGGTTCAAGCCCCACCTGAGTAGGCTTGTGGTTTTCTTCAAAAGCCTCCGGGGGGCAAACACTGAGTATACAGTGTTAAAATACACGTCAGGCAGGGCAAAAAAAATCCAAAATTAATTTGAATTCCCCAGACTAAAGACACTGTTGATATACCTCGTGGTTCGGGGGCAAACTTTTGCATAGCGACCACCATCTCTGGAAATGACTGGTTCCTCTGTGCCCTTCTTATTTATTGAAAACAAAGTATTGGTGCAAGGTTTGTCTTCTGTAACTAAGCAAAAGCTTGGCCCAGATCACGAGGTACAACAAGTGTCTTTACTACGAAGAATTCAAATTGTAATGTTCACCTGAATTTAAAGAACCCAGTGCACCAAATTTTATTCAAATTTAATTTGCAAAATGGATTCCATCCATTATTTGGAAACTTCACGCTTAGCAACTTCTGGAGGTGGGTGCAAATGTAAAGTTGAAAAGATTCTGTTGTTTACAAGTATTCCTAATGTTAAGAAAGAAATGCCCCCAACTTTAGGAAAACAAATATGTTGTCACCTGTTTGCCACCATGTGTCTGCTAGAGAGCACCTTCCTTCTCCTACTATGTCATTGTACCATTCCCAAGCCTCATGGTTGAGCGGCTCACCAACTGGACAAAGAAAGGAGACAGAGAAAAAGATTGCGAACTTGTGTCCTCAAAAGAAACCCCCCAAACCCAAACTCAAAAACAATTCATAAAAATTAACATTTGTATTGCTAACTTGCATACAGTCAGGTGAGAGTAAGAACAAATGGGTGGTAAGTTACCATTTCAATGGAACATGGATACAAATCAATTTTCCTTGACATTTTACATGTTTACCTTAGGGTTTGTTTACAGTTATCAGTGTTTTCTGGTTAGTGACCATGACACAGGACAGTTCACAAGATCTTAAATGGGGTTTTAATTTTTCATGCTTGCTTATTTTATGCTTATCGTTTTGTTTCATGTCTTAGAATTTAAAGGTCCTGATTTTAACAGGCATACCACATATTATCTGCATTTTATTTTATTGTTAAACAACCATTATTTTTAAGGGGAAAAAAATAGAAATAACAAAGAGCATGGAACAAGCATGGATTTTTAATGTCAGCAAGAACCGAAAACGTACAGGGTCATATCTTTTTGGCAGAATGGGGTCACTTTTGCATCACCGACTACATACCGCAGCCAAGCGTCTTGAGCGTGGAACGGTCATATTTGGTGACGTAGGAAGAATCAAACTTGAGGAGGAGTCGAATGGCTGTAGGGGCGCCGTAGAACTGGTTCAACTTCAACCTTTCAACCATCTCCCAGTACCGACCTGCAAAACATTTTCCACAGCATCAGCACAGCTGGTTCGTTTGGATGGATCCTCCAAACTTTGTTGAATCCCTGGAGGTCAGATTCGGAGGGGAACTTTCTGGGGAAATCTCCCCCCCCCGGGGCATGATATCGGTAAATCCAACAGACCTATAACATAATGACATCATGTTTTCTTTACATGTATGCTTTCCTATTTGGCTCGATGGATCTAGTCTAACCTCACTGCCACAGGAAAGCACGCATGTAAACAAAGTGTGACGTCATGTCGTAAACGTATTCATTTCTAAGAAGTTTCTCCTCCCAACAAAGTCTGCAGGACCTTATGTGAGAGGCTCTGCTCTCAACAAAGCTACGTCAAGTTTCCATTTCGAGATCCATTACACAAATTTTGCTGGGAGTGGACAGGCAGTTTTTAACATTTTAGATATGACAGGCAGATATTTTAGTCCTAGATGAAACCCTGGCTCGACTCAAAACCAAGGCTCATATCCAAGGGAAGCGGCTAGTGTGTAGCCAGTGGCTTCTTTGGGAGCAAATATTACATATATTTCTGGCCATAGCTGTTACATTTGGGCACAGCCACGGTGCAGTTTTTACCAAAGAGGCCACAGTTTAGCACAGAATCCAATAAAGTGGGAAAATGCATGATGTCCGGAGGTGGACAATCATCACTGATGCCCAATAACTGATTGGAAAGTATAATACCTGGATCAGGGTATGCTGGGGTACCCTCAAATATACATTCAAGCATTATCTGTGAAGAACAACACTGTGTGCATGTACTCGTACCAGGATCGGGGTACACCAGTGAACCCTCGATCAGATACAGAAGAATTCAGTGAAATGCAAAATGCCCAAATCAAGGTATTTAAGCAAGCTCCCAGAAGCCACTTCATTGATTGAAAAGCATATCTGCCTAGCTCAAACACACCCAGGCACAGATTGAAGAGATGATAATACCTGGATCAGGGTAGGTCGGCGTGCTCTCGAACAGGACAGTGGTAGCCCCATTGCTTAGTGGACCGTAGACTACATAGGTGTGGCCTGTGATCCAGCCGATATCTGCTACACAGGCGTACACATCACTAGGCTGGTAGTTAAACACCATCTACAATGAGTAATTCCAATGTAAAAAAAACCCAAAAGAATGAACACATTTGTATAAATCAGAATTAGGATACCATTAACAAACACGTTTTGGTAACAGACTACCTTGTCTCTGTGCTGTTTGACGATAACCAGGCATCCTTTTTACTTGTACATGCAGGCGGGCATTTAAGTTTTTCCCCAGCGTTGTAGTCGAGACCATAACAAGACCAGAAACAAGACATGACACAAGACGAGACACAAGACCAGACACAAGACCAGACACAAGACCAGACACAAGACCAGACACAAGACCATTCATGAGACCCATTAATATAAATACCGGGGTGAACAACAACAAACGAATGCATTTGTTACAGTTCACTGAAATACTGCAGTGCGTGGCTGGAATTCAGAGTGGAGGTCTCATGCTGGTCTTGTGATGGTCTTAAGAGGTCTCAACTACAACACCGTTTTTCACAACACCCAAACTGCTCCACATACTTGCTTTACAGTGTAAAAGATTTTCCGCTTGAATGATGACTCCTAAAGGTGACCTGTTGGAGTAGAGTTTGCACCACCTTTGCTAGCTCTCCGCGATGTAATAAGTGAACAAACAACCACCAACAAAGAGATTGCTACGATTAGTATTTTTGGCAAAGTGTTGTACTCAACGGTGTGTGTGAAATTCTGCCTGATGTAAAGTCTCTCGTAACAAGTATCAGATGGATTCTGAGGTATCATCACCGTGAAGAGCCTGTGTATAAATGAACCCAATTCCCATTACAAATCTATTGGGCTGGACAAGGTTTATTTCATGTGCTCTTTGCATTCTTCATGAAAACTGTTCCCACAGTTGAGATGTTCCCACGGTTGAGATCTGCCATGTTTGTGTTGACTTGATCATTCTACAAAAACAGCTCTTTCATTTAGCGATTCGGAACAAATGCTTGTGTAGTAGGCCCCCCCCAAAAAAAAAATGAAAAAGGAAAGAAACATGCTCAAGGATGATGTGTAAAGTGACAAAAGTTTGAGGTCAGATTTTGCAGAGCAATGGGAACACGCACAAGGCGCAAAGTATCTTAACATGATCAGTTCTTTGTGAACTAGATCACTATAAACATATCTGCAAAAACAGGTCAGGTTTTCTCTGTTAGAGGAATCCAGTTTCCGCTGAAGCAAGACTGCTTTCCAATTGACATGACCAGAAGTGTACATGGACATATTTGCAAGCATCGACAATTAAGCTTACAGGTGGGATAATCATGTTAATCCCAACAATCATTTTCCAAGGCCGTGTCAATTGCTGCATATTTTTGAGACGCACAAAATATCACCTAATCTAACATTATCAGTCATGAGTTGCTAGAGTTGAGTTACAGGCTTTTGAGTGAATCTAGAACAAATTCTCATCAGCATGCCAAACTGAGCGATACACCAAAACAAAGGACTCAGTTTGCTCTTTCTGAGGCAAATAAAAACACCCCAACCAAATCAGAACACCCCAACCAAAAAAACCTTGTAGGGCATGTTTGACTGGATCTGGTTACCAGTTCCTAGGAATACATTATGCATGGCCACATGGCATCGAAGAATCCCCAGAACTGTCAGGTTTGACGTCCGCCCTGCTCCCGAGGTGGACATCGGACCCCAGAGTAGCATCAAAGGTCCTTCAATTAATTGGCCATGCAGGGCAATTTTGTGATTGTGAATTGAACTGGATTTTTAAAAATGTAACTCAAGATATTCATTTTTGTAAGGTATTATTCTTAATGTTTATATTAATCATTTTGTCATTTGGTTTTTATTTATGTCTGTGATTCTCTTTGTAAAGCCTTTTTAATGTAAGACGCTATGTCAAGAATTATTAATATTACTATTACAACTACACTATTATAATTTTAATGCAGTTTTATAAATGCTGGAGTTCCATATAATCTGATTTTTACTTTTCGTAGTGCCACTTCAAGGGCATTTTAGTGCTTTTTATCATTTCATGCTGATACAAGTTTGCATATAATGCAATTATGAGCAAATATGAGAAATCTAAGGTAGAAATCAGTGTGACATTTCTTTTGCTGTCAAATGTTTTTTCTCTTTGGTGATTCCTTGTTGTTTAAGTTTAGTAGCCCTATAAGCAATGTTTCCTCACAAATATGTGCAGATGTTGGGTTTACAATATCAAGAAAAAAAAAACCAAACGGTGTCTTCATGTAATGACATCACATCAACAGTACCCTCATTGGTCAGGAAGTGCATGGAGTTTAAAAAAAAAACAGTAACCAAAAGGAGATGCCTAACAGCTTTCTTTCATTTTGAAAGAAGAAAGTTGCACAAAACAAGTTCCAAAGTAAAATTCACAAAATGGACTCCTTGAGTAGCGACCTATCAAGGCTTCCTTTCAGTGCTACTGTCAGTTATAAATATCTTGTGCTTGCAGAGTTTTATGGTGTAATTGTTACTCCTATTAGAAATGAAATAAATCGCCTGCGCTCTTTTGTACACATTCCAACAACACTTTACGGATGTGCACCGCTGTAAATTTATGCACAACACCTAAATAGACCTAAATGTGGTCAAGGTCTATCCCATTTATTGCATGAGTGATTTGGCAGGCAGCCGGGAAAAAAATCAAGGTCTCCAACAGAATGAAACATCCAAGGACGGGCCAGGGGAGACCTTTGTTAACTACCTAGGCGTGGCGTGGGTATTCGTGCGAAGTACATCTGAAAATGTGAGTGGGTGGCCACGGGTTGACGTCACATTCACACTCACGTAATTGAAAGTGCTTTTTTTTTTCAATGTACATGCAAAACAAGTGCCGGGATCTGACCGCAGGACAATGCAGTAAACACAAGTATGAGAAAAATAAGTCTGTACATGTGTAAAATGAATAACTTCTGGCTTTTTTCTTTACTTTTTGAGTCCTCTTACTGACGCTACACAAATGTGAACCAAATATCTATACAAATGTTTGCAGTAAGATTCAGAATAAAAAGCACATTCTGGAAGTTTTAGAATCCTGTGCTGCTAGCAGACCCAGAGGCGATGCGCCAGCCCATTTAATTTTGCTTTCCGTTTCAAATGAGAGCTCTCCCCCTTTCCCCTTTTGTCATTTCTCAACTGGTTGGTCTATACTTTTGGACGGAAACAATCACTAAATGTTTAGCCCTGCTGGCATTTTCGGGTTCCCCATCTGGGCACCCCCGTCTGTCAATGCCATCTACCCCCTTCTGTGGACGAGCTCAATCAGCTAATCCTCGCTTTCATATGCTGAGACTTCTACCCGTAATCCACAGCCCCAATCTATCCACCACACTGTCAGGGGAGGGGGGAGGCTGGATTCATTATTACAATACCACTGTTCACTCCAGTACACCTGGTAGAGTCAACTACTGCTACATGTACATGGGTGATTCTATAAATTAGAGGTCCAACTTGGGGACATTTTGGTGTTCTGTTACGGGTGAAACCATTCAGCTTTTCTGGATGGAACTAATATTAGTACTGTTCACATTCTGTAGATCAAACAGGATTACATTGTTTATGACTTGTACAATATACAGTTCAATCTGCACAATGTTTGATAAAGTGGTTACAATTTTACATGAAGAAAAGTTGACTGGCTTCGCGTATAACAGGACACAAAAATGTCCCCAAGTTGGACCCCTAATTTATAGAATTACCCAAATACCTGTATGCTTGGTGGATTCCCTTTCAGCTGAGACACATGGGAAAGAGCGACAGCAACAAGTAAACCGTGAGAATTTCAATCTTGCCTTGGGAATCCTTAATTCCGTTTGTGCACATGTTCTCAGCATCTGTGTATAAATACCTGATGCGTGAGTGATGCATACAGTAGATAGCCTGCCTGGGAGTGTGACAGGCCCTTGGGTGCCCCCGTGGATCCTGATGTGTACAACATGAAGAGGAGGTCCTCCGAGTCCAGGATTTCTGGTTGGCATTCTGTGGACTCTCTGGACATGGCCTGTAAATAATGGATTGTGATTGGTTTGGGACTTACTTGCTAGTGACCCAACTGAAGATCTTATGACTTGTGATTGGCTTGTGACTGACGAGGGACCAACTTGCTTGTGAATTGAGTCCTGACTCGTGGTTGCTTTGTGACTGACTTCTTGTAACTTGTGATGGCTTCTATTTGGGTCATTCCATGAGGTTGGGGCACAATTTGTGACGGTGTCCATCGTTACATGGGTTCCGTAAAAATGAACAGCTATTTCCCTGCCTGCGGATTCCAAGTTATACATCTTGCAAGGCTGAATACAGAGGTGTGTGTTATTTTTACAGAGTAAATGACGTAATCTACAGGTCATGACAGGTGGTGAAAGTTACCCATGTAACAAGGACACCGTCACTAACTGTGCCCTAACCTCATGGAATGACCCATTTGCAACAATAGGCACTGGCACAAATACAGCAAGTTAAATACCATCAGTTTTCTACATACTAAATGTAAAAACCAACCTCCTCCAGTGGAATGTCAGTCTGTGACATGGGCACAGGGTTCCCCGTCCTCTTGGCTACAAACACACGCTTGATGTTTGGACACAGACTGACAGCACTGTCAACAGTCTTCTTGAGTTCAATCACCTTGCCCCCCCTCACGGCCTGGTCTGCCGTGATTATCGTCTGCGCATCGCCTGTGCAGAAATCAACATCAGAGGGTACAAATGAAATCCACTGTAGCATAAATACCTCTCAGGCCAGGTGTCAGGTGCAGGAACGCACTAGCAGTGGGGCACGGGACAGCAAAGTCTGCTGTGTGGCCAACTGGTGTGAACCAACAAATGACATATTTTGCAAGGTCTTGATTATGTGGGGCAAGCGGCACAAAATTTTCATTGGAATGCGCACAACCCTGCTGCCCTGTATTAAACAGAAACATGCACGCACGTGCACGCACGTGCAATGGAAATGGCACTATGCCTCCAAAATGTAACATAAGGCTGCTGCTCTCCAAAGAGCCCCTCCCACATTCCGTAGGACTCCTCCGCATTTGACTAGGGTACGGTACGGTACATCTAGGTAGGTTCCACCACAATCCATGAAGTTCTGTACTTGCATTATGTTTTCCAATCAAGTTGGCCAAGCTGACAATACATGTGTAAATGACAAACTAATGGAAATTATGGCTTTTCTTCTGTTGCTTTTTTCCCCAAACCTCCTTAACCCTTTCCTTCAAAACATGTTTCCAGAGCGGCTTCTTGAGTCCTTTGAAAACAAGCACTATGAGCTACATACATGTATAATAGTACACATTCTTCGTTGAACAAACTTGAGATATTGACTTCATTGTAAATTTCATGCAAAACCGGCTAAGCTGCGCCGTTCGAAATCCCTCAAAAATACTGCAAGTCCCAGGAAATCACTGGGGTAGTTTAACAAAAAGCTAAAGGTTTCATACACTCGAATTATTATCATTATGCAAAAAGTCAAAACAACCTTACCGTCTCTAATCCGGCTGGCTAATGCTTCAGCGCTGAAGCCAGCAAACACAACACTGCAAAACCAAATAGTAAAAATAATTTCACTAAAATATAATCAGTTTTTATCAGACAGGGGTGTACATGTATGTATATACATTTATATACATTTACATGACACAGCATCACAACATAGGTAAAAATACAAACATACAAAGACTATTTTAAATAGCTACATGTACATACATTATATACACTTTTGTATATCACACTACGTTGTGCAATACATTTGAATTTCATGGTTTTTTTTTTTTAGATAACAACAAGTTTTAGAATCCCACAACAATACAATTCAATGATCTGTTTACAAATTAATTCTATATCACAACATTTACAAAGGAAAGAGCATGCATGTACATCACATGCACTCAATCAATAAACAAATCTAAATCTAAAAAAATCTTAAAACACTTCATGTATGTGACTGGTTGTTCATGAAGCCTGTTTTCATCTTCATAAAGTTGAGTGATCAATTTTCAGTGAATGTACAGTGTATGTGTGACATCACAGAGACATCTAACAAAAACTCTAAAGCTCTCCTTTTTGTGGCCATTGGTCTGGCTCTGACTGAAATTGTGTAAATGATATACGCATGTAAATGTATATTGCACGAGGGTGTTATAAGATCATGTCCCAAATCACAGCGGTCGGTGAATGTTTTGTTATTATCTTGAATTCTTTGTAACATTCTCCTCACCTGAAGGTCTCAAATTTAACCCGACTGACAAGTATCTTAGTCCATTGCTGGTAAGAAAGTTGTAACATGCTGAGAGACTCAGTACATCACAACGTCGGTTTATTACAGTTCATACACAATAGTGTGCCTCCAGGATTTTGTAACGCGTTGACCAATCACATTGCAGGAAATTTTTCCACACTTTCCAAACGTGCACTGGGTCAACAGATTTCGCGCACTGTGATTGGTCAACACGATGTAAACTCGTGGAGGCCCACTACTGTGAACCACCCGTATTGTGCTGGTAACACAAGTCTCAAAGGAGATGGAATATTTTTATGTCTTAAAAACCATTTTTGAAGAAAAATTGGCATGTGTCTCCAAGCTCGGTAGACATTTTGAGAAACCTAAAACACAGAAACAAACTTCCAGCTGACTTCAACTGCGAACAAAAAAATGCAGGGCTCCATCAGCTGATCATATTGCAGTACCGGTTCCCTGCTCCCACTAGAGTTAACTATTATCAACTGTATGGTGAAAGCTGCAGAGGTACCAGTGAATGGTCTGGCAAGTGGTCCACGCACTATGGATTTGAACTGTGGGGTGGGGACTACTCAATAGATATCACAATGTGATGTGATGGCCGAAGGTGATGATGGCATGTGTATTTGTCACCCGGTCATGTGATTGTTCTCAGCCAATAAAAAAACAGTATTCAAGACAGAGGTACCAAGATGTAAAATCTCAATGTCTTAGGAGTAGGGGTGGTGGTCAGTATTATTGTAAAACCTCAACCACAGGTTGCGTTTAAGTGGCCTATGATATATCACACAGTATATGTAATTTTTACTATTCTACCTTGAGCACTACATGTAGGTTTTTATATTCCCTTGGCCGCATGATAGGGCAATGATAACGCTTGATAGCTCATTGTAAGAAGCAACTAGCCTTCTGCCAGTTAAATTTGAATAAAATCTGGTACACTGTGTTAAATCTGATTGCACATAAACATTACAAACTGAATTCCTCAGACTAAAGAGACTGTTGCTATACCTCATGATTCGGGGAAAGCTTTTGCACAGCTCTGGAATGGACTGGCTCCTTTGTGGCCTTCTTATCCATTGAAAACAGTGCATTGTGCAAGGTGTTATGCACTGTAACTAATCCAAAATTGGCCTCAAATCACGAGGTATAGCAAAAGTGTCTTTAGTATGGAGAATTTGTTATATGCAAGTGAATTTAAAGAACTCAGTTTATCAGTTTTTTTTAATTTAACTCACAAGAGTTCCAACATGTACATTTACTACACCACTCAAAGCTATCAGCACTTGCATGCTGCCAACACTGAGGGCAAATCCAGTACACCTCTGTTTATTTATTAACACGTTAAAGAACAACATTTAGGTAAAGGGTGAAGCATAGATTTGCTTTTGTACCCTAACCTATTGACAGACATACATATTATAACACAGGACAATACAAGACATGAATATGTTTTTGGCAGTGATACACATACGGACAAACACTGACAGGCAGGAGATAATACAATGCATCAAAATACAATTCTAGTCGGTACAGGTGATGTATTCAGAAAATATTAGATATTTCAACTTTAGAGCAAATGTTAATAAAGTGGGCGCTGCTTTTATAATTTCATTTAGGCTATTCCAGTATTGGACACCGCATTGTACAAGACTATTTTTGAGTAATGAAGTTCTATTAGTATCAACATATAATTTCTTTTGAGAGGTACTTCTGGTATGATACGAGTATAAAAGTTTGCCAAGGGGGAGCACATTTTTTCAAGGGTAAAACACTTTGAATCTCTTTCTGTAAACATTTTATGTCCTTTCTGATGGTTGAGGAGGCATTTGGGGGCTGTCCACTCTCTTCCGGTGGGATAGGATGTTAAATGGCCCAAGAGGGCACCTCTCTTATTTTTCAAGTCCTGTACAAACTTCTTTCATCCGTTTTTTTCAGGGGGGCCACAGTCCACATTCATCCTTCATCTACTCCCAAACTATCTACCAATGGCTGGCACTTTACCTGTGGATAGCACCGATCCGAGCACAGGCCATCATGGAAGCCACAGCAAGGGGGGAGACAGGCATGTAGATGGCCACACGGTCACCTTTCTTCACCCCTTGGGTCTTCAAGGCATTGGCAATTTGATTGGTCATGTCATACAGCTGTCTGTATTTGGATAAGAACACACGTTTTTGGATTGGATTGGATATTATTCAACGCCAAGCAACCTTTTTAATTTCAGGAATTGGGGAAAACTGGGCAGCAAGGGGATTTTGTAACAAATTACAAGGCCTCCAATCTGATTCAAATCCTAAAACTTAAGTGACTACACACATGGATGACTTCCTTTTTTCGTAACATTATTTGTTAACATTTAAAAGTGACTTTCAAATAAACTTTACTGACAGGACCGATGGAAATTTTCTTTCTCTCTGCAAACGGTACAGAGCAACAACAAAGCACCTTCTGTTTTCAATTTAAAACAGAGTTTATACAACTGGGGAGAAACTGCAAAACGGCAGACCCTGAAATGAAACAAAACCATTCAAGTCCTACAGTAAACCCAAGTCCTCTCCATCTCGTTCAAAACATCAATCGTTCAGCAAACTGTCAATAAACCAAATGTATTTTGATTTTACTTGTATGTAATCCTCTCTTCTTGTCCTGGTTCATCTTTCTCCCATATGAGAGCAACTCGGTCTGGATTTGCCTCCTTGTGTCGATCAATGCAATTCACTGGAAAGGTCAAACGAGAAGTAAAACAGACAAGAAGTTAAAGAAGAAACGTAATGAAACAGACGTTAAAAAATAGGAGAATTGACAGACTTGTGGCATGAGGGCGAGCAGAGACACTTTCAGTGACACAATGAAATTATTCTTATCAAGTAGCCGCTCTCAGCAGGGAGCAAAATAACAGTAAAAGTTTGATAGGAACATTCTGAGTCTTCCACAATCTTTCGCTATGCAGGAAACCGATGTACACTACCAGTACCAGTGTCTATGATCTGCAAGTGCCTCTGTTATTCCCCAATCCTGCAAAATGCAGTGCAACTCCTTTAGGATCTGCAGGGAAGGTTTAGGACTTTAGATTTGGCTGTGAAAGACTAAATGTAATGTCTACTTACTTTTAGCAAAAAAAACCCAAAACATATTAGCACCAATGGAATTTTTTCACGAATCTCTACAATGTCAGGAAGGAAACCTACCGAGTAAATATTACTTACTTATATGGTGTATGCAAAAAGTATCTTTGGAGAATTTGCAGGCTTAAGTGTTCTTCTATTTGGTAATTCACTGTTGAGCAAGTATATGTACATAGCAATAAGCAAGCAAGCAACCCTTTCCCGGAAATGTTTTCGGAAAGTAAATTCTGGGTTCACAATTTGAACAGAAAAGAAAACCTGTGCACTGGGCCATATCTTCCCTAGATAACAAGTATCACAGTAACAGTGTCCTCAGTTGTCCAGAAAAGAATGAATAATTTGAAACATTTTTAAAAAGTGCACTTTTAAATGCATCGAACCTAATACAAATGTCAAATACTTTTCATACAATAGGCAGCACATACAGCTACATGTACCCTTTAACCTTTGATTTTCATTCGAAAACATCTCAACGACATGACGAGCCAATAAATAGATGCAACAATGTCACAAGTCTGCACTCTGTCTATGTGAAGTTGTGCAATGCATGTTGATGGCAAGTGCAATACATGTCCGTGCCCGGTTCTGGTTGCTATGGCAACTGTTGTTGCATTAAACAGCAAACAGGAATTGTTGTCATTTCTCATTTTTCCATTTTCTAGCATTTCCCACTGTGTATGAAATACATCACAAAAGCAGGGTGGCTTTTCAATTTTTTTTTACCCTCTTTCATTCCCTTTTTAGTAAAAAAAAAGGACAGCTAGAACACAGATCTGACAGATCAAATTTAGAGAGGCGTCAACAGGTAACAAGGTCAGAGTCTGCACAGGACAGAAATCGGATGTTTTGTTTGGTCTCCCTACCGTAACAACCCTTGGCAAGAATGGCAGCTGTGACATACTTGCACTCTGGGGCCCAAGCCATTGGGCAACAGAGCACAAAATCAGGAACTCCCTTCACTGTCCTCTGAAATGGAATGACGTATATTCAACGTCACAGTTGGCAGGGCGTAAATTCAACAATTTGATTGGCTTGTGCCCAGGAGTCAAGCACGGTTTTTTTCACGGCAGGAGAGAACCTGCTGTACAAACCAAGCGAGCAAGCAACACAGTCCAATTCGAAATCAGATAATCAGAGGTTACTTCATATGCAACACAATGTTAATTGAACTGACAGCAAGACAGAGAACACAGGGATAATGCTTGAGATTTTGAAAGCAACAATATCTACAAGCAATTCAAGGTGAGTTCCTCTTTGTATCCAGAATACAGATTCAGTCATTTTTTTTTAATTCAATTTCAAAGCACACTCTATTTCTGTCTTATTAAGAGTTGATTGTAAAGCTCATTTAAAAGACAGTTCCATACAGGAATACATGTACAGTGTACACGTGTGGATAGGGTTGGTACATGTACACACACTGGTACACTGTACTGGTATGTGTGCCGGACAAGAAAAGTAACACAAGAGTTGAGGTTGTTTATGTTTTGTTTTATTTTCTGTAGAGTAAAACTAATTGTTCCCTAAATTGTTCCTCAAACACATGTCCACAATAAAACACGTCTTCTAGACTTCTCAGATTGGTATGACGAACAAATATGGTGGTACATGTACACCGTAACCGTAAAAAGTATTAGAAAAATTAATAGCAACTGAAGACAAAAGGTTACAAGGATCTTCTTCCTCATTTCTGTTTTATCGAGACATTGTTCAAACCATTTCAATTTTAATTTCAGCATTAGAGCACAAACATTTGTTTTTGTTAGTACACGAAGCAGGCCAGGATGCTCTTACTTGTATTCATGAGAAAGATGAAAATCAGGCGGGACTTTAGGTTCAATACGTGTAGAGCATCCCACCTCCAACTACTGACTACCGTAACTCCAACAGCAGGTTTTGTGAGGTTTTTGCAGGTTTGGTACCATACCTGATGAACTTGTTGAACTTTGTTCAGACTTGGGATGAAAGGCCCAGGGAGATGGTGTTGGATTCTGTGTGAGTTGCTTGATTTTGTCAGGTTTGGTACTGTTCAGTGCAAGTCATCCTATACTGCATAGACCCATCCATACCATACCACTCACACTCCAACGGGCTCATTCTGTTAAGAGTTTATCAGGTTTGGTACAGTGACCTGCATGTACACGTACATGTACCTGTTGGATTTTGTGAGGTTCAGTATGCTTTCTAGGGCAGGAGCCCCGGGAGATAGGGCTAAACATTTTGTAGCAACGACTGTTGCAAGTTGCAAAATACATGGACCTTATTTCAAACAATTTACCTTCAAATGTGATAATGTCAATCAGCATACAGTTACAACTCATCTTTAGAAACTCATATCTTATTTAACATTCACCATACTGACACATTCAATTTTCATAAACACTGGTCAAACATTTCTTATGCATTTTCAGTTTTAAGCTTCTAAACCTGCTTCACTTTCTCTGAACACAGTGCGAATACATCAAGACATTGTGAAATCTTAACAAGATCATTAAAAATGGTATTGTAATGACTGTTTAAGACAAAGACCAACTTTACCAAAAGGGCAAAATAAGAAAAAAAAAAGACTTTCAAAATCTCTCCAAGGCATTAATTCCATCTTCTGAAAACTTACCGACCCTTTTCAATGCATGAACCTACAATATTTGAATAATTATAGTAATGACAGTTTAGAAGCACCAGAACATGCAACATGTACTGTATAGTACTGTGCATACCGGTCTACAGTGCTGGTACCGGTAGGTGATGATTTATGTTATTTCTTTTCAAAACCCAGCTCACCCCTGTAATTTATGGAGAGCAGTGTGGAGAAATATTCTAGACTAGCAACGTACAGGGTACAGGCCTGCACTATGGTACATTTGTACATGCAAGGAACCAGATATGAATGACTTTTCGCACTGATTAGTTTTTTTAAAGTGTGTACAGGGAAATGTCACATTAAAGAGACTGTCGGATAACGTTGCAATATTGTACAGGTAGAGTAGGCCTTAATGATGCTCTTGTAAAAGTTGTCATGTGAAAAAAAAAGGTCTGGAATTTCAACCAATTTTCCAGGTTTTGGTCACTGTAAACCATACATGAATACATAAATAATGACAGAACCAATGAAATAATTGTAGGACCCAGGCTACACAGAAACTTCATATTGAAGAACCTACATACTGTACATGTACAAGTACAGTATTGATCAACTTTGTTTAGTGCTACAATATAATAGTGTCCTACTTCAGTTCTGTGATTTGACCCAGGTCACAAACCTGTCTAGCGTTATTTTACAATTAGTCTATCAAGGCCTTTGTACACTACAGCCTCTCACCCTGGATTGAGCTGAGGCTGCTGAGCTGATTGATCAGATTTGGATAGGATTCAGATCTTTGCCTCGGGCGGTCTCATTGATCTTCTCTAATTTGATCCCCGCAAATCTTTATAATACGCCAAGAACAATGTGCAGTGTATTCCTTAGCTAAGCTGTTAGAAGATGAATAGGGTAACATTCTGCAAATTACATTGCATTTCTTTAAACAAATCTCAGAGTCAACCAATATTTTCATGTTTTCAAAAAGAACTTCTGAAATAAAGAAGAAAAAGTGGTGCCCATGACACGAAAGTTATATTTTGATATTTCACATCATGATATTTTAAAATATAATCCAAATATGCCTATATATCTGTGGACACTCTGTACCTAGATTAATAATTTAAATAGAACAAAGTGCACATTTTGCTGTCATTCAGTCACTTTATTTTTGGTACAGCCAGCACTGACATTGGTAAATATTAAATTCACCTTCCATCCGAGTTATTACATTAACAAATGGGTAAGGAACATGGTGCCGACCCCCATCAGAAGATGACGGTGCAGACTCAAATCTGGGGTCAGTTTTGAGGTTCCAAACCCAATTATGTCACAACATCATTCATATTTAAATTGCAGGAAAGTTTGTTTGCTCTGCATGACTCACGGCTTGGAAGTTTTTTTTTTCAATGGAAATGAAGTCCATAACAGCACTAGAACTGAATTCTATCTCGTACACAGCATTCACAATGGCAATGCACTGAATGCAAGGAACCAGAAGATTTGCCACGGTAACATTTCTATCCTCCAAAAGACGCACTGTGCAGGTTCTGTTACTGTGTTGGTGCCAAAACAAAAATAATATGGTTCCTGGTCCAATATCCACTGCCAAAATATAAGGGAAAAAATACTCCTGTATGTAAAGTACATGTACATGCATATGCCCCTCATAGCTACAGAGGCTAGGGCCTAGTCTTATCTTCCCAGAAAGTTTGGTTGGCAGAAAAATAGCAACATTTGCTTTACACATATCCAGTGTTGTAGTACCATACTCATACTCAGTACTTACTTACATACATGCACAGTATGATACTCAAGAACTACTCGGGTGAGCATGGTGAGTATTAACACTTGTACTCAAATGGTGAAGTACTCGTACTCAAACTGATGGCACCAGTACCGGTACTTGTACTCGGGCAGTTTGCCAACCTGCCATTTCATCATCACACATATAAGAACTAATTTCTACAAGCACAAGATGCTGATCCGTGAAATGAAATGACGTTGACACATGCTATGACACACAATGGCAAGTTATGTATGTGCTATGGTTGGACTGGCCCACTATCCCAGCTACATGTACAGTAATGGAGGCTCGGCCTACCGGTATCAATGTCAGTTGGGATGCGACTGGTAACAGGCTTAACTAACATCTGATTGGGCTGATTAAAATTAGTTGGTTGCTTCATCACTGCCAGCTCTAAAAACAAATCTTAATTTGATATTTAATATTTTTGATTTTTTTCAAACAAATATCGGAAAGTGTTCCATACACTGGACATCACTTGACGCTCTGTGCATAAACCCGGGTCTGGAAAATTCTCTGTTTTCTAAGAACATGCTTTAATATTTTTATTGCAAATTTGACATTTTAGGACATGTTATCCCTTTCTGATGGCTCATCAACCAGTGCAACAGAAAATAAGTGATGCACATGTAAATCTCATAATGTAAATCTCTGGGGCATAGTTTGACATGTCATGGTATGATACGCTGCCATGCCGCATGGTTTGACATGTCATAGTACGATACGCTGCCATGCCGTGGGGCATAGTTTGACATGTCATAGTACGATACCGTGCCATGTTGCGTGGTTTGACATGTCATAGTATGATACACTGCCATGCCGTAGGGCATAGTTTGACATGTCATAGTACGATACCGTGCCATGTCGCGTGGTTTGACATGTCATAGTATGATACACTGCCATGCCGTAGGGCATAGTTTGACATGTCATAGTATGATACGCTGCCATGCCGCATGGTTTGACATGTCATAGTACGATACGCTGCCATGCCGTGGGGCGTAGTTCGACATGTCATAGTGTGAATAGTGTCTGACCTACAAACCCCAAGACATTTGTGTCAATAGCATCACAGTGCAAATATCAGGTATCAAAGGCCCTCGCCCTCCCAGCCAAAAGAATTGACTTTGAGGGATGATAAACAAGCCATTTATTTTGATTAGCCTTAAGGCAGACGATCTATTTTATTGTCAAGAGTTGTTGAGCATTTGGAAAGAGTTCCATACACGGACAACACAAAATTTCACTTAAAATGTTGTAATAGGAATAGCATTCCCAATGACACAACTAGGTCAGAAAACAGCAAACGTATCACTCCAAGAGATGCAACATTTCCAAGATAATTCCGTACCAGAAAGTGATAAAATGTCCCAACAATGTGAAATTTAGCTAGCTAGTATCTAGGACCCCCCGTACCCAGGACAACTCGTGTAAAAAGCACGCGGTGAGATTTCACTAATAATCAACCGAGACCACGCAACATACCGGTACGACATTTCCGCTGCACAACAATTCCAAATTCTCACTACATCCAATTGTGCTTACATATATTCAAACTTAGCATTATGTTTGCCAATCTCCGGTAGCCACGCCCTTACGTTCCATATTAGGCCAATGTCATAAATGGCCGTGCAAAAATTTTGATTGGATACTGATCAGAGTAGGACTTGTGCTCGATCAAAGGCAACTCTGGAAGGAAAACTAGCGCTCCGGTGCGCGACAAGATTTGGTTTGCACAGTGGTCCAAAAATCTGACCTATTTGTGTGTGTGAGTTTATTCTAATGTTTTCATTTTATTTCTTTTGTACTTAACTGTACTGCCATATGTTTGTCCCTATTTACCTTTTGGTAAAAACTAAACATTGCTTTATGGTTGGTCTCGGTCTCGACCTGCAAAAGTCTCGGTCTGGAAGTCCTGGTCTTGAAGGAGTAGGTATCGGTCTTGGTATCGTATGCCATGGTTTCGGTCTTGGACATCAAGGTGTCGGATACAACACTGCCCAAGGATTTTTTGAAGTGAAGGAGAGGATTGTACAATGCAATAAATTAAAATTAATTAAAAAGTTGATTGTTTGCAAGCAAAGCAGCCATTGCTAAGATGTCCACTGAAGACAGTAATACATGCAAGGGTACGTTGACTCGAGTACAAATTGACTCAGGCACGAGTTGACTGGGGCACAAGTTGACCTGGGTACGAGTTGTCCCGTGTACGAGATGACCCACATACAGACTTAGTTGTTACTTACCAGACACGTTAATCTTTCCTCCTAGAAACCAGGCGTTTTTCCCCTCGGCCCAATCGACTTCCGAGACCTTATCAAAGTCCTTGTACCAGCGTAGCCTCGACCGGGCTAGCGTCCCCCAGAACTTGTCTGGTTCACGCAGCGAAAACTGATACAGTTGCTGGTGACTTTCGAAAGTGTGGCCCATCTTTTCAAAAGTTTCCAGTTCTGGAATATGCACCGTAGATACTTGGTTTGCAGGGTGCGGAAGCGAGGTAGATAGGCATCTTGTAAAATGTGGTTGCCTGAAGCCGGTGACGAGGGCCGAAATTACTTTCGCATGTCCAGAAATGTAGCAAGTTTTTGCCAACAAAAGGCTCTTCTGTAGCCCCGCCATGTTGACTCCCGCAGTCAATTAATAATGTTTACGTTTGGAAGTGGTTCCGGTTTTCAGAGACATGCAATAGCGCCATCTGGTGTCAGTGTAGGTCTAGTAAACCAGGTTGCGTTTTGGTACTGTATTCAGTTAATCGTGCACCGGAAAGTTAATAATATTAACTTAAGAGCGCAATAAAAATAATCAAGCTTAAGAGGAAAATAAAAATATGACAATGGGTTTTTAATCATTTTCTTTTTCAATGATCAACTAATTCGCTACCTGTATAAAAATCCATGTAGAAATGAGAGATTTAGGCAGGGACAGTGAACAGTGTACTATGAAGTATACTCATACATGTACATTGACAGTAAATTAAATGTATCTCCGAGTCATTGATCCTGCATGGCATACTCAATATAGCATACGGTTTGCCAAGTGAAAATCATGCTGCAATAAAGTGCAGGAATAATTTTGGCACTGTCTTTTTTCCACTTGGAGAAAGGGTTTTCCTCAGCAAAGTTAAACGTTGCACCCAAAGATACGAGTCATAGAAATAATCGCCCTCTTTAAATCCATTTTGAGTGATTTTTCTACGGCCCGTGCATGAAACTGGGTGCTATCTTGCTTTCATTTCATACGATGAATGCTCGGTCTTTTTTTCTCAAAATTCCGAGAGGAATTGGGGGAACCGAGGGGCATCCCTCCCTCTCATAATGCTGGAATACTGGAGTAAGTAAACGAAATAAGATTTTGGCCAAGGAGAGCTTTGCTTGAGAAGTGAAAAGAGAAGTGCTAAAGAAAATTATTCAAGCGGGCTCCATGCCTAACCCAGAAAGTCAGTTATTCCTCAGACTCCTAATCACGTCAAGGAACGATTGTGTGTATTGCGTTTGGTATTTCAAAATCAATAGTCTATCACTTCTAGCTCTATATTCTTTATGCGTTTCTGCTCGTTGTAGGCAATTCGTCGTTGAGTAGCCCAACTAGACATGGAGGATCCCAACAATAACGAGGATTTTGCATTTGTGCCAGACTTCATGATGCCCGACCTAATGACATCTAAGGACCTGTCAATCGGGCTGGATGAGCAGTCAGTGCCCGTCTTCCACCATGAGGGCTGCCCCGCCGAGGACCAACTTAGTCCCGTCACGATGGCCCTCCAGGCTCCTCACCTGCCTGTGTTCGATTCCGGTTCCTACGGTACCAGCGGGAGCGGCCCGGACCATCAGCTGCTGAATCGTCATCAGACCATGGAGATAGGAAAAGACCTCCATGATCAGACCTACGACACAGCTTTCTTCCCCCATCTGAGCGCTAATTGGGGTGCTACCCCGGCTAATAACGGTGAGCCGGCCGCCCACCACTCCGCGTCGTCGTCATCTTCACTTGCGTCGGCCCTGAACTGCCCACTGTGCCGCCGGTCTTTCAAACACAAGCTGAGCCTGACCAACCATCAGCGCTCGCACTCAGCGCGGGAGCCGCATCTGTGCACCATCTGCGGCGAGACGTTCAAGTACAAGACCAATTTCAAGCGTCACTGGCGGATCCACGCCAAGGAGATGAAGACTTGTAGATACTGTGGGACGAATATGGACAGCGACTATGATCTGGTTCAGCATGAAAAGGCGCACAGGCGACAAGAAAAGCAGCTTTAAAATCATTGAATTGACTGAAAAACAAATAGACATTGGCTCAGTGACGGAACTGAATTGACGTGAGGGACACCAAGTTGTGCAAACATTTTTTTCAAGAGGAACTAAAAACAATTAACTACAGCTTGCACAAGACGATGTGTTCATTTCAAATATTCATAATAACGGGAAGCCGTTACGCCAATGGAAGTGAATGAATTGCATACGGCCTAATAGAGATATGTGACAGTAGAATATTTTCTAAGTATTTCCTGAAAGAGCAAATATGGAATAATTTCTTATCTTGCCAGCTGAAGATAAACTGACACAGAACACTTATATAAACTAGTTATTAGTATAGAAAAGAAAACCATAGAAGCATCCTACCAAATTAACTCAAAGAAAAAGGGGAAAAAACGAAGCTTTAATTGTCATTTCCAGCTTTGCTTAATTCTGTCTGCACAGCACAAGTACTCAACACAAAACGGTGGCTGTCGTCTACGAGTTAACGGTTTCTAGTTTTCGACACATGATAGCAGATGGCTCCTGCCACAATAACATACTCGACGTGAAAGTCTACTGAGAACGTTCTGCTATCGTTGTTTTTCACGCTGTGGTCTTTGCACTACATACGGTACACTGCAGGTCAAAGGTTACACTACTAACTGGAGTGAGAAACTGTGTGGAAAGAATTCGCTTCCACGTTTATCTACACTCATATTTCACTCAGCGCGAAAATAATTTCCCACTTGTGTGAAAAGAGGGAAAATGTTTCCTACTTTCCGGAAAGTTGGGAAAATCTGTCCGACTTGTGAGAAAATCTGTAAAAACCTTTCCCCACACTTGTGTGAGATCTGTGACAATATTTTTCCACGTGCGTGAAAATTTGTAAAATCTCCCCACTTTGGTGAACATTTTCACGGTTTGTTAAATGAAAATGAACTCCCTGCGAAGAGCAAAAGTGTAAAGAGAATTTCACATTCCTGGGTTCACTTTCAATTGCAATGTATGAGCTGTAAGTGCATCTAGTGAATGCTTATTTCTCCAAAGAGGAAGTTCATTCGCCTTAACCTCAGCTCCAAGGCAGTTTTCATGAACGCAATTACTGGGGAGAGTCACGTTGGCTCTGACCCCAGCTTGATACTGAATTCTACGGGCTCTTCTAAATACAGAAAGTAGGAGAACTTCTTGCGTGCTCATTTTATTACACCGCGACCACGTTCACAATGATTACATACACCGTATGCACTGAGTACATGTACATGAACTTGGCAGCTTGATCCATCCAGAACCTTTAAGTCGAGTGCGGAACTTAACCACGTGAAATCTGTATCTGAAAGATGGAAAATAACACCGTTGACGAGGAAATTAAGGTTAGAAGTCCAGTGCATTCTTTCCCTGAAATATGGCTCTTAATGGTCGACTGTTTTGTCACATCATCTTAGGAAGGCAATAAAGAGAGTCGCAGTACAGACTCATGGCGGAAATCACTCGGGAGCGGGGGTTGATTTATAGATGGTGAAGAGGAAATAACTGTACATACCGGAGTCAGATTAGGTTGTGATGTTAACATCCATTTCCTATGAATCGTTGCCATTCTCCGTACTTTCTGTGCTGATTGTTTACGCATTTGACGCAAGAGCCCATTTTGCTGATCGTGAACACCATCATTTTGAGGAATATTTTTGGGAAACAGATTTAAAAACAAATGTAAAACATTAAGGGCGTTGCCAACAACAAAGCCAAATTGGGAAGGGGTACTGTTCAGGGAAATTGTGTTCACCGAACAAAAATAGGTTAAATTTTAGGTCCAGCTCAACACTATCCAGACCATTGGATCGCGTTGATAACCGAAGAACACACTTCCCCGTACTGAACTGAACTATTACAGCAATTTCCTATCAACTGGGAAAGGCCCTGGTAAGATTTGCCTGGCATTTTGGTTCTTTTGGGGTCTCATTCGATATTTATTTCTATACTGACACCAGCGCGGATTTGCATATTCATGAGCACATTGTGATGTCATCCAAAGAGCTGCGCAGCTATTTCAGTTCAAGAACTTGCCAGGATTTTGGATGTTTTGCATTCTTGCTTTTTCCTCTCAGTGATTTGATATTTCAGTATATGACATACATGTAGTTTTAATGAGCAAATTTTGCCTCCATATTACAATTTGATCTGAAAAAAAACCTAAAATGAAGAGTCCTCCTGAAATGACATCAAAGCAAGAGTGCTTTTACTTGTTAGACAAAGCATCGAAAGCTTTAAACAATTGAAAAAGTGCACTCTATAAAAATGTCAAAAAAGGACCTGAAGCAGTTTCCACACACTTGAGAGGAATGCAAAGTTTCTCAAAATACATTTCAAAGTAAACTTCCTGTCACTGGCCCTTTCAGGTGGGAATTGGGTGAAGGAATTGGGTAATTGAAGGTGCTAGTTTATTCACATGAATCATGAAAGAAGTATAGAGTAACAATTACTTTGAAGTTTCAGGAAAACTATAATTTACTTAGTTTTGTTGAGTACAAGAAGTATTCCACACCATACGAACAACCAACATCTTGGAAAGTTACAGAAGCTTGAGTTCGGTCCATGCCAGATTCTCGAAGAGCTTCTTCAAGAAAAGACAGTCGTATATCAGGATTTTCGTCAGAAAACTGCAAGAATATTCCCTGGGAGCTCAATACGCGAACAGTCTCGCCGAAGGACAGCCTAGCCAGGCCAGACCTGCCACCGTTCAGCATGGCATCAAACGTGCCCTTCTCAAACACCACGTCGAACTGGTCATTTCTGAAGGGGAGTCTGCTTGCGTCGGCCGCTATAAACTGGAGAGACTCCCTGCCCGAGGAGCAGATCTTCCTGGAGATGGACTGTGCTTGCCCCACTGCACTGAGAGCAAAATCCAGGCAGACGACACTCATGATGTCCCCATTGCCTTTCAGTAGGTTACTGGCGAGAGTGGACGTCCCACAGCCAAGTTCAAGGACATTTACAACATTGACTCGCCCAGTCTTCCCTGTGAAGATGCACTCGGCCAGCCACTGATTGGCTACATCATGAGCAAAGAACCAATCAAATGATTGGCCACTCGCACTTTTTCTCTCATTGTAAAAATCGTCCCAGTATTTTCTTGTTCCTGTATTGCTGCGGTAAGATTCGTTTGCTGTATGGATTGAGTAGGGAGAAAAGCATTCAATAATTGTGAAAAAAACACAACACATGTATACTAATGAAAACTTCATGAACACTCTACAGAATCTCATTTTAAGCAGCTATCATCTGGTTTGAAAAAAAAAAACCAACCTTTCTTGCAGAATCATTTGTCTCACGGCAATTTTTTACTTCCATTCCTTCCAAAAGTGTGTTGAAAGCCCCCAAATTAGTTTTACGCAAGGGTTTCCCCTGGGGTACTGATATGTTTGAGGTGGTGAAAAAAATTTTGCCAAAATTCTAGTGCCTAAAACAAAATTGAGTGCTTTCAAACCCGGCCTAAAATAAATTCTATATAGTCCAAATTTCCCCTCTAAAATAAATTGATCTTGTATTCTGTGTCCCTCTCTGAATGATTTAAAACTGATCAATTACAAAATATCTAAGTTTTTGTTTTTGGGCTTTTTCCTTCCATATTTGTCTAATTTAAGGTTGAGGTGGTACAATTCAACAGAAAAGGCCCAAGGTGGTCACTAAAATCACTTGAATAGGCAGACAAGGGAAACCCTGTTTCATGCATCAGACTGAGCGATAAGATACTACATGTACCAACGGGCTCTTCCAAAACTTTGGCAGCAGTTTAGATGTCTTGACATGGAACAGGCGTCGAGATGATGAGGGGTCAAGTGACGTATTGTTCAACAACCTTACTTTAAAGATGGTGACTGAGAGAGCGAGCCTGTTAGATTGAAGGGATATAGGCAAAAAGACTGGAAAATACCTGAATAACGTGAGTGAAATCATTCAATAAATGGTTTATAGAAAACGGAAAGGTCAAAGATCATGTGTGCAAAAGAAATTGCGCCCACGATGTTAAGTGGGTGCGCCGAAAACGTTCAGTACGCCGACACGAAATTGCGCATACAGATGTGTGGCTAAGGATGGATCAGGAATGAGAGTCCGTGCCACACTAGTGGGGCTAGTAACAATACTATTACTAGGCCCAGGCTTATAGGCCTATAGGCTATAGCCTACTAGTATAAAATACATCGTACAAATTCAGCAGACGTACATGAAAAATATCTGATCCCATGCCAGCTCAATCTGCCGCGATATAATTGATGACAGACTCTTGGGATGCTGAGAACTATTCCAACGTCAAAAACAAATCGTTTCTGCATCACGCTCAATAATCTCACGTGCTTTATGGACGCAGCCATTTTCACACGACTTTCCATGCTACTACTCTGGAGGGCGCACTCCACAGTTATCTGGGGGTTTTTGACAGAGTTTTATTACAGGCCGTCAGTGGCCGAATCGGGCTTCCTGAGCTAAGCAGTACACCCCCAAGGAGGGGGACAGGCCTCGACAGACTTGTCCCTCCACTGAAATTTTCTTTTTTTTTTCTTCATTCTGAAAAACGAAGATGCAATAAAGAGCTGCATCTTAAACTACTAGCTTTGATACAGCCGTCCATCCATCGTCTCTGGCACAACCAAGGCAGGGGAAGGAGACTGAGTTGGGTTTTTTGGTGGCGGGGGTTGGGGGGATGGAGTTCCAGTTCAAGCCCCCTCCCACCGGGTCGACTTATCCTGGATGCACCACCGCTACCCGTACTGTCAGCACGTCCCCATGTATTTTCAGTGGGCGAAGACCTACCAGCTAGCTCTGGACGAGACATTCGAGTACTGCCACGGTTTCAGATCAGGGACATCATATCGATTTAGTGCACCCATACAGCTGTAATTATATAAAGAGTCTTACTATATTAATAGCTCTATGTGTGCGCCTCACTTACCGCAGACGATGGGAATTCTTTCGAGTGCACTTGGATGCACAAAGTGCAAGATCGGGAAAATTCACGTATGTAAATTCATGGGCTGAGCATCTCTTTGCGGTCATTTTGATACCAATTTGCTTAAAATTGAGCATATCGTTCTCATGTAGTGCCAATTTTTCCAAGACAGGTTAGCCACAAGTATATACTTTTCCACTGCCGCGCTCAATGCACATGGACTGGCAGGCTTTCGCTCTGAACTTCAAAAAAATCACCATAACAACAAAACCATTGTAAAACTTCACCTCGGTACTTGTAAGGCGCGTTCTTTACATGCTTGCGAAATGGTTTTTTAGATGGTCCAGAATAACCTGGCTCTTTTAGGGTTTAGGAATAAAAGGAGAGGGCGAAAGACGGCCTCTCGAAGTTCTAAAGGATTTTACATTTCTTATTGGTAAGATTGGTGTCAGAAGTATGCCTTAAGCTCCCTGCTTTAGCAATAATCCTCCTGGAAACATACCCTGAACTAATTCCACTGAATCCCAACCNCAACGCAACATATTAGAAATTAAAAAGGACAATAAGCGAAACTTTTTGCTGTTAACAGAGATAACAAACATGACGCTCCTGTTTGAGTGCGACAGGCCTTTGCGAGCAAAAGACAGCCGAGCGCTTGCAAGAGGCCGCATAAAATGTTGAGTTGATCATTTGAAAAGTTATGCCTTGCCGGGTTGATCCGGTCATCCGCGGGTGAATTTCTTGAGTCTGAGCGCCTATCGCTCCGTTCATCTTCGCCTCCATCCTTCCTCGGGCCGAAACAGACACACACAGCATCCTCACTTTTTTGCGTCTGACCAACGCCCGGTATCACATTCGGCATCGATATCACCTTACCGTCTTTATCGAGTCTCATCCCCCGTTGTCTCCGGGCAAGGTTTGAAGTGGCGCTCGGCGCGTCCGCTCCGCACGTCGGATCGGAAGTCCATCTCTCGCTGTCGGGGCTGGGTGGGAGAGCTTGAACAGTTGTTGATTAAAGATAACTAGAGGAGGTGATTGGCAAATCGCTCCACAGGAAGACAACAATCAGGCCCCGAGCTGAATACTACTCTGATATATGGATGCAGAAATAAAACTCTCTCGATCCCCATAGATATAATTTTTTTCCTGAGATGTGGATCAGAGTGATATACCGGATTTCTGGAACTTTGGGAGGGTGTGTATTTTGATCTGCCATTCGCCATTTCATTCGGTATACCGTTTTGAGGACAAGATCCAAAGAAGTCGAGAGCGTAGAAAGACAGATCAGTTCCTCGGGAAGTCCAGGGCTGTGTTGAGGACAAGCGTGATTCTTGAAATATATATTTCTAAACCTGTGTTACAGATTGTCATAATTTGACGATGCATTACATGTATACCTACCGCCGGCAGCAAACAGACCCAAAAACTTTGTATGCTAAAACGAAAATAATTGTTTAAACAACGCGCAGTTGCACCGTAAGCTTCGGAGGAAAGTGGAGGAATGTCAAGAAGCCTGTTGTGACCATCTCCAGAGTACGACATAACCATTCTCATCATTCTGCTTGAGTACGGTTGGAGTAAAAGACAGCTAGATACGTTGAGCTCCCTTCAGAGCCTCGACGGTTTTTTTTAACACCGGTGATTCATTAGCCTGTCATACTGCATTGCTCAATACTGAACTAATTTTCAATGTTATGGCAGCGTTCAAATGGTGTTTTGTGAGATCCTTTCCTGGTGGCCTTTATGTACATTACATAAACTCTCTTCAGCATACTTGTGGCATGGAATGAGTGTTCGGACAAAAACATTGTTGTCGATGTAAAATAAGAACAATACAATAGCGAACCGGAAATGATTGTCTCTCATCCACACAACAAACTACACATGTATTACAGGGTTTAATATCGGTCTTGTAAATTCCCATAATCTACCAAACCATACACAAAATGTCAGTGTCCCCAAGGCCCTTCTCCGATTTGATCTGAAAAGTGGCCTGACTATTTAGGGGAGGCACATATTTTCGGAGAAAAAAAACTCTCTGGCCGTCAACCGGGGCAAAGCCCATAGGCCTTCCTCTCTTGCCTTTTCTCAGCTCAGTTCTTCAGTAAAAGTTGTGTCATATTCGCCGGGGCCCGGAGCAGGTGCCCGGATGTTACCCCTCAATTGCCGCATCCGTTCCAGTCTGGCGAAGGAGGGGGAGGAGGGGAGGGGGCAAAGTGCGAGACGGTGTCACTGAACTCCGAAAAGTGGCCCCTTTCTTGTCCCGGTAGCTGTCCCGGCATGCACCGGGAGGGGCAGCGCTCTGGACCGTGTCGCCTCATCTATATCTCTAGAGCAAGGAACAATTTAACTCGAAGTTAAATGACAAAGTCGCATTTAGTATCCTTTGAGATATTTCTCTTAAGAAAAGAGGAACGTATATTCAGTCACCCTTGATGTATGTCTGTGGATGTATCAATTTCTCAACGAAAATATCAGTTGTTTTATTCTGCTAATTCAACATTCGACAGATATTTTCACATGGCACTCGCTGCCGAATGCTTTTAATCTTGAGATTTTATGCATTGAAGGTTTTGCTGCCAACTCCGTCAACGAAGATGCCGTTCAAAAGTGAGGCAGGTGATCTCATTTGGATGGACGCTTGTGTCGAGTGATCCTAAAGGTGAGAAATAAGCACCTGTATCCATCTTGAGCCATATACATGAACGTGTACTTCCGCAACAAAATTATACAGGGTTGTTGGAAACTGGAAAGAACGTGCAATTCAAAAGACAAAGACGCGACAAAGTCCCACGCAAACTACCAAGCTGATGGGCTGGTATGTGGGCTATGGCGTGCCCCTTACTCTACCGATTCCGAAAGGAATCATTTCAACCTGCCTTGTTAGCACTTTGCAATCTATATTCAACGCGTCCACAATACAGGTAGCATAGAAAAGACTATCAAAGATTACCAATGGCAAAGATAACTGAGGAGCCTTGCTGACCAGGAAATCAGAATTTCTGATGGCAGCACGTATGGACCGGTCTTTAGTCCCCTTTTGGGAAACAAAACGACGCCAGTTGCAACATTCCAAGTAAGCAGGAGCGTACCTGATGGAAAACAACGTAGAAAGTGGATTAACTTACCGGTAATGATCTGTGAAAAACGACATCTCAATTGATCCAATGACCTTGCTGTAATATGGCACGCAACTCTTTGATAGGATTAATTACTAAAAGAGTGTGACGAGCAGCCGGCCTCAGACAGATACTTAGAATTTATAATTTCACAATCAGTCGTGATTAACGTATCGTTTTCACCCATCTACGCACCCGCTTTGAAAAGCAAGTATAATATGCATGTACACTGTATCTCGTTAGAAACATGTCACTGTGGAACAGTTGAATGATAAAGGTGGTGAAGAAGACATGTTTCTACCATTCCCGCTGCTCTCTATTTTGTGTATTTTTTTGCCTCGAAATACATCCAGTCGTGTGCACTTTCCAATCAGAAGTTACAAACCTTACGTCATCACAAACAATGGAAAGCAAGTTGGGCAAAAGACAATCAACTCTTTTGGGGGCAGAAAATGACGTCAGAAACAGAAAAAGAAATCAGAAAAAGAGGGGGAAAAACGAAATGGAAAAGACAGAAATAGCAAAAAATTTCACTGCAGAAAAGCTTCTCGAAGGGTGATTGTTTCCCAAGTCTGTCTTCACCGCGGTCTTGTAATAAGCGATTACTCTGCGGCTTAGGCTGCAGTAACACAGACCTCTGTAGAACAGAAATATGGACATGGAAAAGGATGAGTCATGATAGACCATTTCAATGCTGAGAACAATTTTAGAGTCGAACTTGAGAGGGGGAACAGCCTTGATGGACCCAGATGCTGATATTGGCACGAGTTACGGTAGTAAATGCACATGCAAGCAATTTCCTTAGAAGAGTTCCAATCTTCCAAAACTTCTCAATCTAATCAGATTTCTTGCAGGGGATGGACGAAAACGGGCCAACCGGGACCCGCGGTGCCACGGCGAAATACTAATCATACAGGCAAACCTGTATAAGAAAAAGTAGGGAGAAATGGAAAATAATCCATACGGTTATATTGGCTTCTAAAAGAAGGGATCAAGTCCAAATGCATCCCGCCTGGCTACGAGAAGTGACGCTGTCTCCCTAGCGGTGGACGGTGTGAAAAAGCCGCCATAGAACCTCGCTTGAATTGGCGGTACAAAGAGAGATGGGATAGCGCGGAAAGATGATTTGCCCGGTACGTGAGTGGGTCATCAAGTTGATTAACAGGTGCGCATCTATAGGGGTACCTGTCACATGTCCCCAGCCGTAAAAGTGTCACTGGCTGTTTCCTGCCCGAAAGCCATTGCCCAGATTGGAAGTTATACCTTGGAGTCCTCCTGTCTTTTCTTCGCCTGGGACAACCTTGCGCAATTACTTCGGCGGGGTGCCCGGGGAAACGGCTACGGGCAATC